ATGGCAGCAGGACTGACTGCATTCTTTGTGTCAGCGGCCTTTTCAAATGCTGCTTTCGGTTTGCAATACCTTTTTCCCCTGTGCATTACTACTGCAATCTGTATTTTAATCAGTTAATGGAAGGTAAGTAACCCCTCTCTCCCCCTCTCTCTTATTCTATGACTCATCTATAGGCCCCAGTCCTGCATCACAGTATTGCAGGGTGGTCTCCTAAATCCACATCTGTTTTGTGGCAAACCACAGCGCCCAGGCTGCCTAGCGGCATGCTCAACTATGCTTATCTTGCACCTTCTCCAGCCGTGAAACTCTGCTGTGCCACTGCTGTCAAACTTTAAGAGGCAGATTAGCCTGCTCTTTTATTAGGACTGCTTTCTCATAGACCGCTTAAGCCAACACCACAAAGGACACTTACCAATTATGGCACAATTTAATCCAGGACTACAGGATTAATCCAGTACAAAGCTTAATCAACATCTGGGAAAACACTCCATGGAGTTGTAGGTTACCGGCCTCTTTAGAAATGACCACTTCAGATTGAAAAACGGATTTACAATCGGTTGACTTTTGACATGAGTAAAGAATATATTTATTTTCAATAATTTACAAGAAACTGAATGCTGATGCACTGGGAAAAAAAGTAATATCTAAATTAACTGGTTTCATTCAGGTCAAAAATATTCATGTTGCTGAACCAACCTATACATCTGTTTATGCAAAAAAAAAAAAAAACAACAAAAAACAAAGAGGCAGAAATTGTTCTTTATGATAACAATTGTTGGTTACCACTTTTTACAGATGGAATGAGCACATAAACAGTTTTTGTTTCGTTTTTATAGATGCTGATCGTTCACCTTCCCTATGCATGCAAAACTGCCACATAACATAAAACCCTATAAATTCTAAAAATATAGAATATTTTACACTAACATCTCTATATGTTTTTTTGAAACCCAACAAAATAACACCTAGTTTTTATTCTCCTTATATGGTCTAACTCAAAGCTTGCTGGGAACTAGAAATCTGCTGCAACTCATTCAGCTTAAGTTCAACTTAATGTAATCAGATTTTGAGTTCGTGTAACTTTTTTCTAGTAAGTACAACCAAGTTTCAGTAATATTTGAGTGGAATGAATTCAACTAATTTAGTTAATTTCGCTGTTTTACAGTGTAACAGTAAAGAGCTATAAGTTTATAAAGTTAAAGACAACCAGTTTTGGGGTAACGCATTACAAGTAATGCAAGTTACATAATCAGATTACTTTTTTTCAAGTAACTAGTAAAGTAACACATTACTTTTAAATTTACAAGAAAATATCAGAGTTACTTTGTCAAATAAGTAATGCAAGTTACTTTGTTTTCCCATTTATTTACTGCCAGCTCTCCTGTCCCTGCATTGAGAGAAATTAGGAGTAAAGCTGAGGTACTTATTAATTTCACTTTTGGTGTGAAAGGGCCTTTACAGTTTCCAAAAATATAACTTTTATTTTTCCATGATACTGACTGATCACTATTGGAGGACAAACTCAACAATACAGTATGTTGCTTGTGATCAAATGCATCTGCAAAACAGCTGATATACAACAACAACAGCATGAAGAAAAACACTGACATTAAGAGTTAAGAGCGAGGTCAGAAAAAGGGCACACAGGTTGGCATTACCACATTGAAAGGCACAAATCCAAAACCACAGTCTTTGTGCTTCACACACAGAGATCTCGCAGCCATTACTCTACAAAATAGCATGAGGTGCATAAAAAAACAATTCTGCTTTCAGCGCATGCATACTTTCACACACATACAAATACATACATGCACGCACACGCACACACACCCAGTTCTTTGTTAAGCAGACCCACGGTCGAGTTGCGGTTGTAGCAGCTAAGACTTCCATTAAAACTCACATAAGAGAACCATATGCGAGCGATATAGTCCGTGTGTGCGGTTTTAACCCAACACAAACACTTTGCTTTTTACCATTCCCTAGTGGCTAGCAGATAAATAATCCTGATGATATTTTATGTAGATCATTCCTGCAGCTGCTTCTCCACATAAACTCGGCATTCCTCTCAATGCTAACCACCATCTTACCATATAAATGCAGCATACGAGATTATAAACGGGCGATGAGATTTATGATGCACATGTACACACCGTTCTCTTTACACAGGATATGAAAGAGAGAATGAATCAAAAGCATTATAGATTATATCTCTGCTCTATCTGAGTTTGATAGTTTACTTAACCGATTCCAACTCATCTTATCTCAATCTGAAGTCCAACTCAGTCTGGCTTGAAAGCAGATTAATTACATCAACCATGAGAAAGAAATCAAAGTTCAGTTCATCATGTTACAGTCACAAAAATCAAGAAACATATCATATGAACAACAACACAGAAAAAAGAAAGAAAAACAGGAAAATGGCTTGTACCCTGTAGGATTCAGGCACTAGGAAACACTCTGAGATGCCCGGGGCTCGATGGGGACCTTCATGCACCAGATACGATTCTGTGGCCTGTAATCAAACACAAAACAGAAAATTTAGTCATAGGGTCAAACAAAAAATAACTTCTTGACCGATAAATCTGACCAAGAGCTGCATCACAAAGCCGGAAACATAACACTTCAGTGGAACATACTTCAGCCAATCACATGGTCTCTAACTCTTTTTTATTCTCCGTGTTCCATTTGATTAGATGTGAACTTAATTACTAGAGAGAAGCGAACACTGACTCTAGATCAGTGGCTAAAGGCAACTTTGCTGCATATACAGTGAAAAAATAATTGTGTAGGATTTTATGTAGAAATCGCTAGTAAATTTCACAAAATTATTACAAACAAATGGCAAGTAACCTATTGAATTAATGTGAAAAATAGTATTTTCTTGTAAAATGTGCTTTGAAAAATCATTTTGCAGTGAAAAAACATCTTCACTTCTGAAATAACTATACACTATTAATAAAAGCATAAACAACATAGCATCAAAACAAACTCAAAGTATGCAAAACATTTTTAAATATATAAAGTAATATCCATATTAACATCCAACCACTCTCTCAATCAACTCAAAATTAGCCTGCACTGAGATGACGTTTGATGGCACTACGATTTTAGCTCAACTTCTAACTTGACTTTCATGTTGTTGAATGGCAGTACATTTTAATGCATTAGGTAAGATTGGTTATTTCAAGATTTAAAAACGTCAAGCATATTTGTTTGTTTTTGAGTCACTTCTATAATTATCAGGAAGAGTACTGGTATATGTGTGTAAATAATGCTCATTTATATGCCTGTCTGGAGCATTTTCTGAATTATCTTTTGCATGGAATGCATGGCTCTAGATGGAAGGAAATTTACTGTAAATGAAATAAAAACTAGCCTCTTAGATTTAGAGTGGTGCACCTACATCTCCATTAAAAAGAAGAGAAAAGCAAAAGGAACCTTCTGAAAAAGTAAAACTCAATTTCATAAACCACAGCAGGTATCTAGAGAGCCAACCAGGACCTCATTCAACAACCATCCACCATCTACACACACACTAATAATGTTCAAATATGAACAATAAACTTTAACCACAAATACACGTTTGTGTGCATAAATACATATCAACATCCATTCCAGCGCATAAGCGCACACACAGTTAGCTCATAATAAGTCCCAGGCATTGGCACTAGGCTCGGGCAGTGGTGAATAACAAAGCCTATTCATATCCACCCAATGAAACCTTAGCTTTCCCAATTTTCCCTCGCTTTTATAGGGTCTTAGCTACAGCGCGCTAAAATCTCATTCAAGCACGGAACAATTGCTGATTGGCTTTATTAGAACATAAACATGCATTTTGATAATTAAAGAAAACGATTAAAAAGCACACGTTACTCAGAGGCAAGTTCACAGCTCTGGCTGTTCTGAGAAAGTTGTTGAAAACAGAAGAGCTCAAGAGTGAAAGCTGTGGGAAGGAGCATTTTATGGGGCAGCAAATAGCAGTAAGCAGGTGAGCCCTTCACTGATGTTTTGTGAAGCTCTCCAGCTCTTTAAAAAAAAAAAAAAACTGACTGTCATTTAAAGAGCATTAACCAAAAGCCCAAACGTCTAGCAAAAAGTGACGCAAGTGGAAGGTTTAAAGCCTGACAAACTCTGAATGCTCTCGGTTGGATTTCTTTATGCGGATTTTAGGTATTGATTGACTCAAGTGTTTACTTTTGTTTAGTTTCAGGGTATTGATTACTCTCATGTTCCAGGAAATCAGCTAACCAGATTTCACCATGCGCTCTTTCCAGTGCCTCCCATCGCTCTGAACCGAAGCAGAAAATGGAAAACGTTCCACTGACTCATTCGATTTCTCTTAATTTAATTGACTTGATTCTCAACCCCTAAGATAAACCAGCAAATTAAAGCCGTCAGCGAGGCCAGGCCGCACAATCCAGCTGAACAAACTCAGCTCGACCGTATTTCGCCGTGCTGAGATCATCCGTTCATTTGTCTTGTCCACAGATGGAGAACAGAAGTCTATGTTGGCGCCTGGAGGAACTCTGAATTTCGCTATTATCCTTATTTCGAGAGGAGGAACCTTCAGTCTCGTCTTCGCCTCCAAAAAGCTCCTATTTTTCTGTAGTGAGCTATTAATTATATATGGGCTGTATGCATATGGAGCATATGCAGGGTCCATATGGCCAGCCCTCAGCCAGAATCTCAAGCCTCTTCTTAATTAACATTTTAGAGGCGAAACGCACAGAGAAAAGAGGGACATTTCAAAGCAGCTCTGGGAGCCTCTGACCTAATTGGAGTCAATGGAGATGTATGTAAATGTGTTAATTACGACAAGTTTCCTCGCTCTCACCGATAAATAGAGCTCTTTGTTTAAAATGTTTAATTGGTGGGAATAACGGAATCAAATGAGGGGGTGCCTCCATAGATCCTTATGGGGGAAAGAGACCGAGAGAGAGAGGTGTATATGCGTTGGAGGCATGTGGCAATACGTTTGTGGTTTAGTGGAATGCTTAAGTGGTTAAATTCCTAAAATATGAAGTTTCTCTCTCACACACACAGACACACACTTTTGTGGTCTGGAGTTTAAGAGTGAAGTGTGTAATTTAAGCGCTAAACAGAACTGCTAAATTAATGACTGTTTCAAACTACTTTCAAACCCTCTTTGACTATTATTCGGACAAACTGGTGGTCTCGGACCCAAACTCATGTCATTGGTTTAGCCAATATTGTTTGAAAAACAGACTGAAAATCACACACTTTACTTTTAAACTAGATGATTAGAGGAAATTTGTGTGGTGACGGTCCATGTTAAACTGGTAAATGCATTGCTATGCAGTTTCTAGGGTATTCTGGGGGGTCACTTCAAGGGATAGTTCACCTAAAAATGTAAATTTGATCAATTTACTCAATCTCATGATATTTCAAACCTGTAAACAACATTAGACCTCATAGACTGTCATTGTATAGAACAAAAAAGGCTTTTTTTCTACAATATATCCTCTTTTGTGTTCCACAGAAGAAAAGAAGTCCAACATGTTTGGAATGACGTGAAAATGGGTAAATGATGACAGAATTTTCATTTTTGGGTGAACTATCCCTTTAAGCTGTTTGCTGCAAATGGCTCTTGGCCCCTACACTCTAAAAACAAATGTTTAGGTTTTCCGGAGTTACAAACATTTCTAAAAAAAAAAAATTTATGTTCATTCAACAAACTACACCGAGTTAGAGTGACTTGATAACTGGCAATATATGTTGTGTGTTTATGTGTTTACGATTCAAAAAATTTAAAATTAATAAAACATTAAAATAATTTAAAACATTGCTCAAAAAATTTAAATAAAATACTCTAAATTATTCAACCAATTTCCACTGACAAATTTCAAAGTTATCAAAACAATTTAATTAAGTTACTACAACTTATTTTAAAAAAAGTTTAAATAAAAAAAAAAAAAGTTTAAATGGCACACAATATTAAGCTGTAATGTAATGTAATGATCAACATTGTGTCAACAGAACTCATCAAAATATTGCAACTTCCAAGGTTTAATTAAATCAATATAAGAATTTTCAACTTGCAACCATGCATTTATAAGTAACAGGTTTTCTGAATTTGTTTTTAAAGTGTAGATATAGTCTGGGCACCTCAAGTTTATAATTTATTTTTAACCTGTTTTAAGGCCTTTTAGAACCTCTTAGAAAAGCAACAGCACATCTTTCCGCAACAAACCAAAATTACGCACCAATATTTAATATTTAGGGTTTTAGCCGTTTTGAAAACCCTCAAAATATGAGCAATAGTAATAGTAACAAAACCACAGCTATTCATATACACAGCAATGCAGTTATTCATTCCCTCCAACACAGAGTCTACATATGTATCTGCTAACTTTACACAGAACATTCCCACTCACACACACACCTGGCCATTCTCCACACATTTAAAAACCAGCTGGCCCAAGAACAATCAGCACAGGTCCCACTGATTTTCCTTTTTGTCACCCCTTTTTCTTTGTCTTTTGTTTGTCTCCAAATGACACAGCAATTACTATTAGCACCATTGTTTTTTATCATTATGATTTACTAACTAGCAATACCGAGCCAAATCAGCCCGCATATAAACCTGTCCTCTATGGCAACCGCATCAAAGAGAGACAGAGTCAAAAAAAGAGAGGAGAAAGAATGAGGAATGAGAGAACGAGTGCTATATAAAAGGATGAAGCGTCCTTTCTCTGTGTGTCTGCCAGTAGCACCTCGGGGAGAACTGTTGGAAAAATGTGATTTTTCACACCAGCATCTCAGAGGCAACGGCAGAAGGAGAAAGAGAGAGATGGAGAGACAGACCGATAAAGAGAATCTGGAATGAACGAGAGGCTGCTAATTATTAAAGCTCTGTTTGGGGTTTTGACACTAGTTTCCTGGCTCACGCCAAACCCGGTTTGCACCCGGCACCTCTGATCTCCACTCTCACGGCTTGTCTTCTCCGTAACGTGCTTGTAAGGGCCTCTGTGAGTGCTCCAGGTGTATCTATACATGCGCTGGAAGTTTATGAGGGCATACGCACGAGCATTTGTGTGTGAGTGTGAGCAGGTGTGCAGTGGTGTTGCGGTGTTCGTCTGCACGTTCATCACTGTTAATGGGCTGAATAAAAGCGAGTAGGTGGCTTTGCATTACGGCATCTCATGTGCCAACACAGATGCCACAAACACAAAACGTCCTCCCATAAGAAGTTTACACCCAGAAACAAGTTCATGCAGCCGTCCACCAATCACCGCAGGGCACTGCATCCATGGCAACCCTGGCATCATGACAACCAGTCAATCTAGAAAAGACGGTTCTGGAATTCACAGCCTGAGCTGAGTCTCCATAACTAAGTCTGTGAGTTCGGCCAATGGGATTTCAAACCGGTTTGCGAAATGCATTTAAACCGATAATTTGACCGAGTTCGGTGTTCTAGTTATCACTTCACACCGTCCAGACGCTTTAATCTGACTCGAGTGCTTGACCTCGCTCGTGGAGAATTAGTTTGCATTTCTTTGTGTAGATCTCACAGGTGTGCTTGGATGAAGAGGATGTTCAATGCTTTGAAAAGATTTGTCATGATGAAAAAATGCTTGCTGCAGGCAAATGTGCTGTTTCATATTCAGATCCAGCCTGCAAAGGCCTGTCAATCTCACATTTAAGGTCTGACTTAAAATTCCCAATCTAAACACAGCCTGATGTGCTTGCGGTGCAAATATTTATTCAGACAAAATTACTAGAGCATGCAAGTCCTAAACTAACAAATAACTGGAAATAATGTTGCTCAGGTGTGAGTAGAAACTGAAGTAAGTCTAACACTGTAGATTTAAAGAAATAAATAACTGGCTCACCATATTTTATAGCATGAATAATGCAGCTCATTTTAAGATCCGGCTGTTTGAAAACTGCCTGTTGTGCTGAAAATCTCAATTTCAGACATGCCAAGATGTGCTACCCGTTTTCATCACATTACAATGATAGTATTATATATATTTTATATATATAATATATTATATCTTTGAAATTACTTGTATCTCTAGCAGCACATCACAACATTGGCCTGCATGCTAAATACAAAGTCTAATAAAAGTACCTTCCAAAACCTCTACTTTAAGATCTTGCAAAATACATTAAAAAATATTTTTTTAAAAATCCATTCTACTACAGATAGTTGGTCTTATACATCTCCATCTCTTTAATATCAATTTAATTAGGACAGATAGTTTTGCCATATGATGTGGAACTGAGCATTCAGACCTTCCCTGACTACTTCAGTTTAGATGTTGCTTTTGGAGAGATAACGCCACCTGAATAAATATTAACATTGAAGTACAACCTAAAATTACCCTAAAACTAAAAAAAAAAGAAGAAGAAGAAAACATTACATTTAAGACTCATGACATTCAAAAAATTAAATTACCTGGCTGTTACATTTAGATGAGACTGTCTAAATGTAATGCTATTAGTATTTCGAGGAATCATATTCACCATTATTATTAATATTACATTATTATTATTAGCTATTATTTCCCTGCAAGAAAAACACAATTAGGTGTTCTTGGTATTTCACAGCACTTTCCAAACTACACAACAATATTATTATAAAAGCAATTTACCGCATGTTGTATGAAAGAATTTTATCTTTGAGAGACGAGTTGTCAGATTGCGCTTTTTTACATTTCTAAAAAGCTCCGCTTTGACGTTTGAAATCTGTTGGCTTCGATTTCTGCAAACAGTGGGAAAGATATTGATTCTCATAGCACATACCATTGTAGTTGAGGGGAATTTGCCAGCTCTCCTCAAAGACCCATTTTTCTTTAAAACCTTCCGCGTCCAAAAAAAAAAAAAAGAGGAGAGGGAGCGGGTGCACCAGTCGGTTTCTTCGGTGATACCGGAAGCGAAAAAAGAACTCAACAAGTCGGTCTGTTTCCCCGAGTTTGTCCCGTCTGTAAAAGTAAAGCTTCTCCGGCACTTTACGGAACGATGGATTATCGCCGTCCCTGGGCACTGCTCGTATACTGCGAACCGTTCCGTTTAAAATATATTTCTCCTGCTGTCACGATGGAGCCTCGCTGGCGGCACCGACCGGGGAATTCACAAGCTCGGTTGAAATTCTCCGCGAGCAACGGTGTACGCAGAACCGCTCGTGCGAAGACGTTCTGCGTGACCGTGAGTGATTTTCTTCGTCTTTATGTCTTGAAATCAGTTCCTGTTTGTCTTGACTGCATCTCCCGCACCATAACGGGACCCCCGCTGTTCCCGGACAGATGAACGCGAGAGGCGTCCTCAAATGCCGTTGCAGTCACCAATACGCGCAGCGCACATTGCGACAGTCTAATCCGTAGACGCACCGAAGGGATCTTGCCTGTTGGCTAAAGCTTACTGACGCTGCATTTAAAGGACGGGAGAATAAACGTCCCCTCCGCGTGAGTAAATATCGGTTGTCGCCTCAGTCGACCCGAGGCTGCACCGGGGTAGAGGGTCGTTGAGGCGTCGAGCTGGTAAATTATTGATCAATGTAGCAACTGGCAGCGTGTGGCAGCTGCGGCTTCGGGGCATTAGTAGGGCTGTGGGAAAATCATGGACGGCGCGGATTAGCTACTGAACTCCGAGCCAGACTGTACACACAGGATAGACGGGTAAAAAAAAAGAACTCAAATAGAACACGACCAAAAGTGCAGGAAGTAGCTACAGGAATAGCTAGAGTCCTAGCTTGCCTGCTCTAGCCTAAAGATGATCAGTGCGCGAATTATTCGGGGGGGGGGTCGACATTTCAGAGAGACTTTCTGTCAGTAATTTTCTGGCCGCAATCGACTGAGGTTCGGCTAGCGCAACCCAAATTGTCTTTTGGCGCCCCTAGCGCAGTTGTCTAACTGTCAACTATCTTTAAGACGTTTTAAACGAAACCCGGTAGATTTTTATGATACATTTGTGATGTGTACATCTACAACAACGTGATAATGACAGCTTTTGTTGGCTATAAGTTCCGCTACGATCGATCAACTGTTGCTATGGTTACCTCCTCACGCGAAGGCAATTTTTCGCAACAATATAGATAGCGTGTAATGACTGAACTGTTAGATAACTTTTTTGGTTACTGACTGGTTTTGGTTAGGCTACTGGAACGTTGTTTCAAACACCGTTGAAACGTACAAACTTTTGTGAAAATATACTTTGAGACGGCCGGTTTCTTTTTTTCGCGCAATTTAAAAGACAAGACAGGGGAAGGTTTCGGTCCTCCTACACAGCGAGTAGCCTACAAGTGGATAGGCGGTATCATGAGGTATGGTCGCCAGGTTCAGCCGGTGTCCCGTTGAGTGCCGGTGTCTCGTGCCACCCATCAGATTCGGTTACTTCTGAAACGCCACAAACAAGCACCGACAGCTCATCAATAATATAATAAAGTGCATCATCATAATGCTCCAATAGGAAACTGTCCAACAGGTGCAGCATCAGATTACTGCTTATTTTAAATAAAATGGGACTGGTTAAAAAAAAAATTTCAGAGAGGGTTTCATTTAGCCCCAATGGTCCAAAGTAGACCTGTTATAATGTGACTATCCTACAAGTCCTTTGGACTTGTGCTTAAGCAGTGGAGTCACATAGCCTAACTTATTTTCTACTGGCTGATCAAGAGCCATACATATTAAATATAGCTATTGTGATTGAAATACATGAACGTTGATAGAAATGGATGAATCTAGAGGAATACCTTTTTATGATGCATTTTGAACAGTAAGTTTCTTCGCAGCATTCGAAAAATCTCCTCCTCTTGTCCTCAACCAGATCAAAGGAAAACCTGCTGTACGAGGGATATTGTGCATTACATTATTAATTCAGTTTACAAAATAATTATAAAATACTACTTTGGATTTCTAAATTATTTCTCCAAATACTAACATACAGAGAAAATGTAGTAGCCTATTAGGCCTACAACACTTCATTTACAAATCTTCACTTAGGCCTACAATTAAAATAAAACCAACAGGGTTTTTACATTGTATTGATATAATTATTGTTGATATAGCTTATAATGATCATTGTCTTTTTAAACGTTTTTGATCAAATTAGTAAGAACTGAATGATCGATAGAGACACTATTTTGCTATTTTTTTTGTATATTAAAACTTTTAATGGAAAGATTAAATAGAGAAAAAATATATGTTGATAAATAATGCTAAATAAATAAGTTGAAGAATTTAGTTCTTGTTATTTAGTAAATTATCGATAGGCTATATCTTAATTTATGCTAATATATGCTCATATAGCATAATAAATAAAACAATATGAATAAAGCCCTTAAATATTTAAATAAGCGTCTCATACTTTATTGTTGATATATTTTATTTTCCTTTTATACCCACTACTAGATATTTTTACAATTAAATTACTGATTAACTGAAAAACTGATTTATCAAAATAAAAACTGTTTAGCATTTAATAATATTTCACCCAACTTGCCACTGCTCTCACTGTGCAGTATGAAACGACAAACAAGAAGTCTTTGTGAAAAAGAAAAAAATATTTTGCATTAGGCTACTAATAAGGCTTTTCCGTATAAATCTAGTTTACTGATTAACTGATTTGTTTTATCCTTCGTTATTGGCCAACCTTGATTTCGTTAGTGTATTAAGCATAGCCTATAGTATCCCGTTTTAAAACATTTCTGAAGCGCTTTAACGAATTTTCAAAGCTGATTAACCTTTTAATGAATTTTAATTAAGCATAAGTTCAACAAAACTAAAACTAAAAAATTCATTTTGAAAAATGGATCACATGATTTTTAGAATCATAATTATAATATTCAAAAATACATTCCTATTCTGTGCAGCTTGGATTTTCCACTTTAAATATTGTATAATAGATATAGAAATTGATTATACAAAATAATGCTATAGTAATGAATTAATGTTGCGTATTTTTTATCGATAATTAATTTTACTGAAGAAAGAACGATTTAACCAACTGAATAAATCCAATAACCTACATTTTTATATATTTTATCAAAAAGGACCAAAGACTTAAATTTCGTGGAAAATTAAAATATCTTTAATGCAAAAATGTGGGAATTGAGTGATTTATGTCTAAAAATAAAATAAAGCGTTTCAACAAACAGTTTTTAAAAATGTACTCTTGCTATAGGCCTAATAAAACATTTATGGTTATTTTATATATCAAATTCTCTGCATTTAGTGTAACTTCAGACATTATCGCATAAAATGGCTCAAATGCAAACAGTTCTGAATCTCTTCGAAAATATTCTCGTATACAGGCCAGTATTATGTCGTTTTTAACTGTGCTGGGGATTTAATAAGGAATAGCCTAAGCCTAATAATTTTCAGCAATAATTACGACGCCTCCGGTGGAAGTATAAAATAGACACGCACTGCTACCGAGAAGATAATTCAGCTTCTGTTTTGATCATCAAAAGGTGTGTTTATCACCTTGTAATCGAATTCTGTGGAACGGTTAAATGCCCGATGTGAGTTTATTGCAATGAGTGGCCGACGACCTTCTGACTGAGCGGAAAACTTCTCACTGCAACTTCTGTGAGAAACCTTCCCCATTGGCTCTATTTCACACGGAACAAACAGTAAACTTTCGTTTTTTAACGATCGAATAATGCGTTCCAGGTCGAGTTTGGAGCGAACCGAGCTCGCCGTTAATTGCGCTCGCACAGCGCGAGCGAGAGTAAGACCGGAGCGGGTTCAGCATCACTGAAATAACGGCTCACGTTAATGAGAGTCTAGCGCTGCCCTGCTCACCACAGAACCTCTTAATGTGACCGCAATGCAGCGTAGGCGGAGTCATGCTGTTTTAATACCTGGCAGAAGACAAGACATCAGCTGTAATAAACTACAGTTAAAAAGGCTCTCAGTGCAGCGCAGGCTGCTGCAGAAACCTGTGCAGTACTTCTGACCTGAATGGACATCAACAGTATTTATTTGTAAGAGGGGTCACTAAAATGTTGGTGTGCTCGGATATGATATTTTAACTACACTACGCAAAGAATGGCAGCAGTGGTTGCCAGAACATTAAAAACAGTGATGATGTTACAAGCAGTTTCCATTATAAATTATATGCTACCTACTTGAACCATTAAAATTTGTTACTATGACCACATGACAACTGAAGGTTATCAATTAAACAAAACAAAAAAAACAGCAGTCTATATACTAAATACCATTAGTGTAATACATAGCAGTAAAATAATGCTATAGATATGACCTAAACAACACAAAATAAAACAAATAGCCCTAAACAAACTTTCTAAAAATGTGATGGTTCATGCAGAGATTCCTGTGAATGGCCTGTTCCTCAAACTAGAAGACAAATAATTGAAATTTGTATGTTAAAGTTATACAACTATATTATTATCATCATCAATTTTACAGTGTGCAGGACCTATTTGTCAGCTCAGGCAAGCCAAAGATAAATTGTTGATCAGGAAAAAAAAAAAAAAAAAGTACTATTTAAAAAAAAAAAAAAAAATGTGAAAACTGTTTTTCAAATGAATGTAATTACTGCTATGTAATAATAATTACTGCTCTTTTGATGGAAACTATAAGTAATGTTATTTAAAATTATTACTTTTTTGTAATAAACTTCTCACTGCAGCATATTAGATACAGTATGGTCACAAATAAGACAGAAAATCATTGCTAAAAAATCGCTCCCTAAAAAATAAAAAACTTCTACTAAAATGACTTCAGCTGCTGGCTCCTGATGTGTAACCTTTTTTTGTGATAGATACAATAAAACTGGCATATTTAAATTAAGTTAAATTATGTTAAATTATGAAAGCGAAAGGACATTTAATGCAATAGATTCAGCCACAACAAACCTTTAGAAAAAGGATTACACTACAAAGCATCACCTTAAATTAAGTTAAATTATGAAAGCGAAAGGACATTTAATGCAATAGATTCAGCCACAACAAACCTTTAGAAAAAGGATTACACTACAAAGCATCACCTCAGGTGACAGCCAGCAGTTTAAGGCAGTGTGTGTGGTGAGCGGTTCGTTTATCTCCGGTTGACCACCACAGGCCTCGTGGTCTGATAGCTGTATATTTGCCCGGCAGCCCACAGACTCTGGCAAAGCCACAGACCACAGCGATGGCGCTTTGGTCCGGATAACCTATCTTTATGCAGAATCCTGGTCTACAGCAATCTGAAACAGAGTGTTTTTTCACTTTCTTTCTTTCAGTATTATATGCCAAAGAAGGAATATGATGCAAAATAAGGGTTCACTGCTGTGACTCAAGATACAATTTTTAGCCTAAATCTACCTCTAAATTAAAATTTACAAGCCTCCCAGAATATATACAAATGACCAACATTTGTACCCAAACCTCTTTATAATTCTTTCATAGCAGAGCTACAAAAATATTGAATGTTTTTCTCCACTCACACATTCTTGAATTTGCACTAATAATCTCTCTTTCCTTTAAAACGTCTGTTTCCTCAAACAGCCTGCATTATAACCGCAGGGTAAATTTTCCAAAAAATGCCTCTACGGGGGCGTAATGTTTCAAGTTGTGTTTCAATTTGTGTCACTTTCCATTACAGTGTCCATGTTCCAGTGCAATTACGTAAGCAACTACTGAAATAATGCCCCACGAACAACGAGCACATTGTTATTGTTGCATAGTTTTCTGGTAAAATGTATAACACGGTCACTGTAGTGCACTCAATCTTTGCACTCATTT